AAACGTATGCTTATCACTCATCATTCATGTGGGTCATCACAAACGGATAAAGCTGCACATGTCAGCAGAATCACTAAGATCCTTGTACAGTAACTACTCTCAAAGCAGTAACTGACGAATGATGATTTGTAGTTGTTGAGGAGCAAGAAGTAATGACTCGGAAGCAGGAAATGCTAATGTTAGCTCACCGCAAAGGCTTGTCAAAAGCATACGAACTTCACAGGAACGGATACCTACTGCTGGATCGCCGTTTTTTTTTTTGTAACAGAACTAAGACCTCTTAACTTAGTTCGTTTGCAATCGCTACCACATATTACAGCGCGCCGAGAATGGATCTCTAGAAATTAGGTGCAAAGCTTTATAAAACAAATATCGTATTCACATCTCCTGTTGACACTTGAGCAGGACGAACACCCCCTTCTCATATTTTCTACTTTGATATCAGTCGCTTTGATTTCCAGCCTCGGCTGTTTTTGGAGGAAGACGAGAATCATCCGATGACTGTCCCTAACGAACGCAGCGATGGCAAATTGCTATTTCAACAAACCCTTACTAGTTTGGGATTCACCGATTTGTTAGCCCCAGACGAGAACTTCTCTTGCAAAAAAAAAAGTAGACTTTCTTAACTGCTCATTTCTCACTCATATGCGGCGGTGCTGGTCGTTTTTACTTTGGCGGATCCTATAACTGAACAAAGCATAACCTATGATTCTACCTGTAACTGCTATAAATAAAACTTAGTGTTTTTGAAAGTTTGCACTAAAGAGGCTAGTTGTTACGACAACAATGAGTCCTATTCGACAGGACGCTGTCATCATTCGATCCCACAATTGTTTTTATCACAATTTATAGAAGTACACGAATTAAGTATGCGTGCTTATTTAATCACGATACCGGTGTTATGTATAATGATAATAAAATATTAACAAGAATTAGCTCAAGCGCACGTTAAGTGTAAGATGCTTAATTTTAAACAGAGACACTTCCACCTCGGCACTTTTAGTACTTTACGTTCCGATTTTTCGAGTATCTTCTAAGGGCGCCTGCCGTTAATCCATTGTACTCAACATCCCTGTCTGGAAAGTATGGTATAGCACAAAATATAAACTATAAGCTGACAATTCCGAAGTTTAGCGTCGGACTGATTCCCCCCGAGAATGATAGCTCTTAACAATATAGTTTAAGTGCGTTAAGATAATAATCATAGATCGCTTCGTGTAAAAGAAGGCAATTTTGTCCAATTTTTTTTTTCCACAACCCTATCTATAGGTAGTGGTAGAGAAATTTCAACAATTTTTTTATCGAAACGTTCATTCCTATAGCGAATTGACCGAACAACTAAACAGCATCGAAGTAAGTAGGTCCCCGCCTCTATGTAATGCACGACTCCTCGAGTTTTATTGTAGTCTTTATTAAGGTTCATAACTTTAGAAAACGTCTTCATCTAATCATCATTAGCATTATTTCATGTGCAGTATCGAAGGGTCTCATTTGTATAAAGGAACTATCAGCCGTGTTGCCTGGCAGAAAGGAGAGCAGATCTTAGAACATTGGAAAACATTTAATCTTGACATGGCCACTCATTATTCTAGGATGACCCAGTGGCACGCTATATAGAACTCGACCTCTTTCCCCTACAAACGTATCTAAAGTTATAGAACAAAAACAGTTATCGCCGCTTAAATATCAGCTTACGTAAGCAATCTTATTCCGTACTAAAACAGTATAGATACATACTGTATATACACGTACCACTAAATTATGGTTGTTATTGATTGAGCAAGCCATGAACGAAATAGTTATTTAACGTCCATCGTAAGCGGCGAAGTAGGGATTTGGCCAAACATCACCATTGTTATTTGTTAGTGTGATAAAAATCGGATGATAGTTGTGCCCAACTCGGAACATGCCTATGGAACAGGGGCTTCTTCATTTCAACGTTCTTTATTAGGCATCGATTACGGCGGGCAGATTCGCTCAGGATTGGCCCCTTGCCAACATGGTCAATTATTAGAATGAGTTGCACTTCTGTCTCGATTAACTTAGTAAGCGAATACCGGGCATATTTCGACTGAAGTAAATACACTCGATCAGGTGCACTTCATGACTGCTTCAATTCGACTCGTTATGGCCAAGCATCTTTCTAGTATATGAAGCAATTGTGTATGCACTATTCTTGTGATCGAAGTATCGGCTTCGGTAAGACAACATGAACGGTATCGGTAAGTTGCGAAAGGGGGCACAGTTTGGTGTTACTGCCAGTACTATCTCAAAGGTGACCGGGCGGTAATAATCATATTTTGGAGAATATCTTGAAATAAAGCTATTGCTATTAGTAATTGAGTTGACAGCAGACAACCAACAACATGGCAAACTTGGATCATACCCTTGCACACGTTGGCCCCAGTTCTTTTCTCCTTATCTCGTCCTTTCGAGAGGTAATACCTAGTTGTTGTCGGTCTATGAAACGTACGTATTTGTGCAGCTCATTTCTTAAATACGTAATAAACGTTAACGAGCTATTGATAGCATACACGATCGCTTCTACAAGCGATCATACGCAACATTTGCCCGCGGCTGTTTCTAACGCCTTTGAAGCTAAACCATCTATTCCAAACTTTTGTCAGTGGGACTGTGGCCATAATAAGCTCAAATCCACTTACAGATAATACCGATATGGCACTGCCGTAAGTTTTATCTTTCGATCCATACTAGTATATTAGTATTATGACGCACATATAAATGAACCAAAGGAAAACATAACTCTGCTCTGATTTTCTGGACGACCCGTACACTAGATAAACTCAGAAGAGATAGATTCCAGTTAACTAATGAGTAGAATAGGTGTTTTTCGTAAAAAGTACGTCCGAAGGTTTGTGCCTAAACAACCGACCAAACAAGCAGCAATTGTTAGCAACGACCTTTCCCGCTGTAATGCTAGGGTCACAGAGATCTTGCTTTCAATATCAATCATAGGTAAATCTCATCTGACAGACATTCAATTTAAATTTGAAACTTTTAGGCCTATCTTGAAGAGTCGCATCTACAATCTTGAATTACGTAGTAGTTATACAATCCTCGCAAAGATTGACAGCTTTTCACATTGAGTAATTTGATTTCCTCAAAGCTGACGATAGGATAGTTATTTTACAGTATCTTGGTCACATTAAGGACAGCCCTCATGAGACAAACAGGTCAAATCGTTCAATTCCAGTACGACTAACTGATCCTCAATAATCCGGTCTAATTTTTCCAATATCAAAATCGTACAGGTTTAACTACCAGCGGACTGTTTACGAAAACGGAGCCATTTGACACAAGGAAAACATTTTTACTTGTTTTTTTTTTCAGTAAAGCGTGCGGTAGCCTTGGATGCGACCAGGACAAAGGCTCCATGAGAATTACCATGTACAAGACTTGATCTAAAACAATATGTTCGACACTTTACAAATTACATTATTATTATTATTATTAAACTTTATTAACACGTTTACGCAAAACGGCAGCTATGACGTGATATGGTAAACAGGCCTACAAAACAGTCCTTATGGGATTTTAATGTGTACACGACTATTGCCTCTTACAACGAATGTTATCGTGTGAAAAGTCCATTTTAGAAAAGAGATGTTCACTTGATTCTTTTTAACGTGCTACTCGTCATGGAGAAAACATTCTCATCCGGATAAGACAGATCTATGTCTTTAGATATGTCTATAAAAGCTATTGATCGATACGATACCGACATACAGTATTTCTTTTCTGGGTCTCGTAATATGTCCCGGTACTAAGGAAGATGCCCTGTCAAGCTGATCTGTTTCGCGCGAATCTTGTCGGGTCGCTGATCCGACAACATGGCCCAGACCTTGTCTTGGCAATTGCGAGTCTTTGATTACCCTCTTTGGTGGACCCTGCCGCAGCATCGTAAGGGTAGCAACAAAACAGAGCTATGAACAGGGCCGAAGACCTAAGTAAGCACTATTCGAGCTGCCCGAACTACACACGTTCGCAGCTAACAACAACCTCACATCAAGCTATTCAGAGGGCAAATATAACGAAAAGGATGCTTTGTTTCTGACTATTAAGCTCTAACAGGGCAGCAATTTGATACAATCTTGTGTAGATTCCATAAAAAAAAAAACGTCGGCCGAAAGGTAATTCATGTACGGGCTTAATTACGCGCCGCAACGGCAAATTCGGCCCATACTAATTGAAAGGTAGAAAGAATTCATCTAGGTAATCACGGTTGTTTTACCACTTGATATTATAAGGTCTCTAAATACGTTAACAGCAAGCAAAACGTCTGTGCCTTGAACGTCCGCTGCTCGTCACATCTCGATGTCTGCTTTGCTATTGCTTGCAGCGGCATGGTCGAACCAGCGTACTCTATTTATTTAATCATAGTTTACTTTTATCGCAAATCTATGTCCATATAGATACAATAATCTATTTCCGTCGAACGAAGACAAAGTAAGTAAACCGGTGTTTTTAATCTGTCGCAGTGAACGTTATTGGTCCTGATTAGATTAGACATACTAGGCGTTTACCTTTTCGTTTCGTGGGTGAGCGTTACGACATACTCTAACTCTTGGTTTGCTAACGAAGCTTTGGAAGGTTGTCAAAGAACGTTTGATGCTATTATTACCTGATTATGAGATGAACTTTCAATTAATAGCAAGCGCCATATCTTGATTTGTATATGATCTTATTGGCACCACGTCGTATCTATGTATCGGACGCCTGGTTAGTAATAATGTCATCCTGTCTATATAGATTTTGTGTACAACTATCGCAAACGGGTAAGGAAGTGAAGAAGTATCACTGATCATATATCATAGTAATGTAACAATCATATTTTCTTCGTGAAGCATTATTTTGAACTTAGAAATGAATATGGAACAAGTAAAGAGAATAGCTTTGACACCTCGTAGAGGAATGCTATCGCATCTATTGGAACGCTTTGCAAACAGATGCCTATACTAACCAAAAAGTAGCAAACTTACCAAGGCCAACAAGAAGCAGCAGAGTATACTCTATCATAATGATCCTGTTGTCTGAATCCGACCTCTGAATTTTCTTCCGCTACCAGATGACTTCGCTGATTATTCACAACGTTCACTACGAGCTAGCCTCTAACCAGACGATGCGGTCTTCCCTTTCAGGATCTGGATAGTTGCAAAAACTTGTACTTTGTCAGACTATGAGTTGGCACTACAGGGTAACAATATGTCGTTCGAATGGTATCTCAAGTAACATCGAATCTCGAGTCAATTCGTTGTCAGCCTTCAGCACCTTCGTTGCAGACGCTACGCTGGCATCGTTCACTTTTCAATGATTAGAATTCGTTCCCATAGCGAATCATAGCCCGTGCTCTTCACCGATCGTATTTTCCCTTTTATAGGCCCGCCCGCCTGCCTACCTTTTCGATAGGTAGCATTCGCGCGGCCCTCTAAACAGAGCTAACCGTCATCGCTTCAACCTCCTCCTGATGGTGTAGCACCGCGCGGTCGACCTGGCGTTCTCGGCCTGCCTGCCACTGCTACGGGTGCTAGTCTCGTTTCCTGGCGGTAACGGGCATCCGGTTCGCCCTCGCCCGATGAGGAGGTTGGAGAAAGGGTCGGATCCGCACTGCTCTCTGCCATTGCTAGACTATAGCTAGTGCCACCACTGCCAGCGCTAAAAGTGAACAGAGAACATACTATAGGAGTACCGCACGACGTGCACCAGACAGATAAACAGACCTTCGGAGGGATAAGGGAAAGGGGCGCATAAGAAATTTAGGCGCAATTAGGATGAGGAGAGAGAGCAAAACTTTGGGCTATGCAACAGCAGGACGTACGGAGAAATCGACATCCTGATGGCGATGCTGATGATAATGCAGCTGTAGGCTCAGCATGATCCTGTCTATAGGTTGACGTTGCTTCCTCCTGTTGCATATTGCCGGCGTTCTTCGCAGTGATCGTTTCTTCTAGTGACATTGATTGGCTGGTTACCTAATTTTGTTAACAGCTTCCTTAAGATTAGAACGATTTTATGAATGTATGATGAAACACAAATATCTGCATTAGACCTTCTGAGGTGGTCTATTGTTCGGGTTCTGCTAACTCAGTATACTTGCCTCGTACACCGCTCTACGCGATAAGCTTTCGTTAGCTCTAAAATAAATGAAATCTATCAAATTATAAAGCACCTTTAGTCTGACCTCTTCGATAGACAAAATTTTGATTGCGGGTGGTGCAACGGAAACGCATTTACTGACCAACCGGCATGTACATGCATTCCATATCGTGTCTTTAACCAGTTGTATGAAGCAACGCTGAATTTCAATGCCAGGCATAAGATCCAAGACTTGCTAGGTCATATGCACATTGGGTGCCTAAGATGATATTTAACTTCAGTTACCTTTCTAAAAGGCCTTGTATCAACGCTCAATTGAACTCTGGGAAATCGAAGGATCCAACTGGCCTATATACCAGTCGTAGGTCTCTTCTAGCCGGAATATTAGCCATACATATGATGCAACCTATGTAATTCGATTTATTTTGCCCAATGTAAGTCGATCTCGTACTTCTGCGCACTGTCTCCACACCATAACGACGATCGTGTCGTCCGCACGGAACAAAAATAAAGTTAAATTAAGCTTTCTTTACCTGAAAGGCCTAGTCTGACCGCCAGACCTTATGTCTATCGTGGACAACAAATGTAACACAATATAGCCTCAGCTCTCGCTCCTGGTACTCGTAGCTTATATTGAAATTCGAGATTCTTAGCTGTAACATTGCAAAAAGATTTCTTCAAAACACAGATGTAATTTCAATACCGCGCCCCCTATTTAATCTCGAGTACAGCTTCTAATCCCACAAGGACGAAATAATAGGTAAAAATATAAAATTTCGCGCTGTCTATCTTTGTTCTATCGGCATCAGAAACGCGTTCTCGATGACCTCAAGCTTCGTTCAAATGTAGTATTATTATATCTGTTCCGCCTGCCATTTAGAGGGATCTAGCGGATTCCGTACATCTATCGATTTATTATTAATTAAATTAATTGCATGGCCAAACAATGATATGCTATTTTTTTTTTATTAAGATGTATGTAACGGCCTTAAAAATCGGAAAGGAGGCTTTATTTCCAGATGATTGCATTAGTCCTAATCAGCGCTTATAATATATGTATTAGTAAATACAGTTAAATTGTTCTATGGCCGAACACTTCACCTATATTAGGCAGATAATGAATAGTCATATATTACTCAGTGTATACAATACCAGGCCATTTTTATCGAAGATTTTTCTAGACATTCCTGTTTTACGCGTCTATGTATAGATTGTATCTGCCCTAATATTGAGACCCTCAGGTGCATTCCAAGCGCCGTGAAGTTACGTCTGAAATAGCTACCGTCTTCAGGGTGAAACTGGATAGTCGTCTGTGGCATGCCTGTTAGTTTCATTCCACGGCGCGTGATCGTCTATAGAAACAATACATTGACTGCTAGCAAATTGAACCTATACGACAAGACCTTTTGGTGGGTCAGACTAATGGTCGAAAACTGATGAAGGAATGTAGCAATTTTTTATTACTACTACATCGTATCGTTCGCATAAGAGTAATTATGTACACTCCGATAGATAAACGTAATCGTATGTTTAATTCCCGCATCATATCATTTGTGTCCTCGATGTTACGTTGTTTTTGTTCTAGAATATAGAATTTTGGTGTTTATGGGGTTCGATGCCAGCCCGGACAAGGTCAACTCGCGCTTAAAGAATAATCAATTAGTTCACGAAATAGGAGAAAATTCAATGACAGGGCGATGAATAGAAGACTGTAATCTGTTCGGGTTCATTGTTAATTCGTGTTATCAACGTTCAAATTGCGCTTTGAACCGGGTGCGGGTACTTCGTTTCCAGTCTGCAGATAAAATCAAGTAAAACCTATACAAATTCTAAGATTAGCTTCCACCGAACCGATCTGCATAGTGTTAGCGCGGTGAGGTTATTAATACGGTACAGAGTTACAAGTTCTTCAGGAAGTCAGAGTGACCTGTTTTGTGTCAGTGATCTCTGTCCCACCTCCTCTTCTAAGCTTTATTGTCCCCTCCTTGGTCAGATTCATGGTTAGTCTCAAACATATGACTGCCCCGTAAGGATGTGCACCTCTTGAAACCTGTTCGATTCGTGCATAGAGTGATTTTATCAGCCTTTTTGTTTGAGGGACTTCAGCAAAACTTAGAATAGGATGTGGACCTAGGTGGTTTCTCTCAGCCAGACCGTTTATCTGTGCGAAAGGCGGTAATTCGGTCGATAGTTGTTCTGCGGTATCGCAGCGAGAAGGTCGAGTACACTCATAAAGAGACCCCCATGGGCCAGCTAACTGACAAACCAAAGACTGCCTTTAGACGCAATCCGTCGCGTGGCCATCAGGATCCTGCATGCAGTTTTTGTGAAGCGTTCTTTCCGGAACCCATGTTGCTCCGTTGTATGGCGTGTACGCGTTCTGATGAGCTGTTCAATTTCATAGTAAGCAATCCGAAAAGCAACTTATGACAATTACTTTCCTTCACCATTTCCCGCTATATTGTCGGTATTGGCTACCCTTTCCCTACGGATAAATGACCAAACAGCATCTCTCCACTGGCCTGGAAGTATACCAATATGTAAACATTTATTAAATAATGTCACCCAGCGCAGTTCCAGAACACCGGCACACTTGAAATAGGCCGACGGCTTTTTTGTTGCACAAGTTTTCAGGACCGTGCATTACCCCCCGTTGTCCCGCAGTCCCCGTTGAAAGATATCGCGCTGTATTGAAATTCCTCTTCCCATGTCACAACGAAAAACGGTACCACACTCGGTATCGTATCCCTTGACGCAAACGCCTCCAAGATTAGTGATTTATGAGAGACAAGCGGCTAATCGGGCAGCTCGCTGAACTGCTGTGGTGCGTTAGCCAATTGCTTGGTTAACGTTTTGCGTCGGTTAGAGCAGGTCTCCAACTGGTACTGTAATCCTTGATATACATACATATTTTTAATAGATCTTCTTAAAAACAGAGGCTGAAGGGTAGAAGTTGCGCAGCATCTCGGCCGTAAGCCTGAAGGCCATCTGGGCCCTCCAGGAAAAACCTGCAAGTATCGTTGAAGCACAGTCTATGCTTCCAGAGAGGACGGAAAGGCTTAGTTTTGTGATATTGTGGATAAGTTTAGACGTTCATAATGTCGGGCGCAGGGAGACGTTCGTAAGCGCGTTTCAAGCGTTTGTCTACATCTAGGCGTCGCGACGGGTCTTCGCGTTCGACAGTCCGCGCGGGTGCGATTTGGCCGGTGAAATCTATTGCCATCGGCATGCGAGCACGAATACCCGCGTCGTCTAACTCGGAATGATTTCCACCCCACAACCTTTCCTGATTCCTGGCTACGTCAAAATATATCAATGAGCGAACCTCCTGCATGTCTCACGAAAGCCGGCGTCAAAGTAAGACGGGCTTTGTCCGCGAAAGCACGATGTCGTTTTGAACCGCTGATATGTTTAGCGTATAGGAATTGAACGTACGTCAAGCACACTTACTAGACATCCTTAAAAATTGTACAGTTGTTGTGCCAGTGTTATTACGAACGTATAGGCCAAATCAGTTAAACTTTACCGGTAGAACATTGTCCTATCACATTTCATCGAATCTACATAGTATAACACATAAAATTATGCTTGAATGCTAGTTTCAGTGATGCCCGTGAAACAACGCATTGTTAATGACTTCACATACTGATGCGATATTCGTTGCTTTCTAATTGATATTGATACGAATAGAAATGGTACCCAATTTGATTACCATTAGGTTTTAAGAAAAGCTCAACGGTATGATAATGGTATCGACTTATCAGTTAGCTTTCTTCAATGGCGACCTACACTCTTACCGTCGCTGGAGGTTCTTGGCTGCCGATTTCTGCACTCGTTGTTGCCTGACTATAGGCAACCTCGTACAGCTAAAAATACAGACAGAAGACGTAAGAGAGATTGACAAATTGATGTGACTGTTGTTGAATCAAGTAAGTCCATTAACAGGCGGAGTGAGATTGGAACAAGAATACAATCAATGAGGCTTATGTGATATTTTATCAGAATTCATTCATATCATCAGGTGGGAGATTGGCCGGCGAGAAGTAGAAGTGTTTGAGCATATTGATTTTTCACTAACAGGTCTTGAAAAAGTGGGCGTAGATTAAGATGATACATTCCCGTTTCAACGTGTCCACATAGCGGGTCAATCAGTCTTTTGCGTGTTTGGATAAATGGACACGTACAACATAGGGGAAATAATTCGAGTATTTTGACTTTCAATTATAAACCAAAGGATCGTTTTAGTATAGAGGTTTCGTGGTACTTCATGTGAGGCCTCGATAACGCAGAGGTAGCGTAATGACTGCGCATTCCGACGAACGAGACTCAGTAAGGCGTACTGCTAAAACAAAATTTTTATAGGTACGCTGTTCATATCTGGGCGGATTCCTAGAGCTT